TGCTGAGGATGCTAAGTTCGATACCTCCACCCCACGAATCCTCGTTCTGTATCCAGCGGCAATAGTCGTCTGGCTTCTTCTCCAGCACCGCCTCCGAGTAGAGGCCCGGATTTTGTTGAATAGTTTGTGCGACAACAGACCTCAACTCATTCATCGCATCCATACCCCCCATGAGAGCACTGCCCACAGCGCGGAACAGACACGAATTGTCATCAGGCATGATGCGTAAGACAAAGGTACCCGCATGCTCAAGAGATGGAATTTCGGGTGGATCATCTGAGATAGCGTCGCTAGATGTGTGTGATGTCCGATGCTTTTTGGGTGGCTCTTGCGAGGTGGGTATTAACCCCTCATTACTGAGGGGTGCTTCTCTCTTAGTTATCAGCAGTTGTTCCCCATCTAGCTTGAACCCTATATCGGAGATCTTCTGGTTTGATTGAAGCTCATCCAGCAGGAAATGTCTGAGATTGGGATATCCATATTTCACATCGTAGAATGTCAATCCAGTCTTATCCACAATCTGAGTTCGAAGTTCGTTCACGGTAGCACTATCATCAAGAGTGATAGTGGACTGTCCATCTGGTCCACGGATACGAAATCTCATCTTCAGGAGTGAGTACTGGTATACCAGACTTTGGTAATAAGGCAGGGAAGAAAGAAAGGAAAGCAGCGCGGAGTAGTAGCGGATTTGAGGAGATGGTAGTACCTGGTATCGGTAATGAGGATTAAAAAAACGGCATTCAGCTACTAGTGGGGCGAAGTGGGAACACAAAGAAAGAGGGGGAAGAGCTCTTCAGGTGCCTTCCTCCATACTACCGCTACTACTATCTCATATATACCCAACAATAGAGCTTTGGACGATTAGCCGAGACAATTATATTCTCAATTATTTGCGGAAGAAAGGAAGAAACAGCAATAGCCAACTTTTGGTTATCAGATTAATGATTGTACTCGAAACCCCACATACATACTGGAAGATGATATGAGGACACGCTAGTTGACGGGAGATTTCGGGCTACGTTTTATATCAATCTGGGGAGACACTGGGTTGATACTACGGAGTATACATATATCTGTATGTACAACAATAGATAGCAAGCCAAGTACTTGGTCGCATGCAGATGGTAAGCCATACCTGAGTGCATAATTATTGTTGGCACATTAGGCTGGTTGTTCCAAGTCTGCGGAGAGGTAATGTAAGTATGGACAGTATTTCATGTCCTAATACGAAGCACCTATTGATCTCATACTAGTACTCCGAATGTAGTCAGTAGTTATGTGTATATGAACATACGTATGTATACGCAGAGCTTTAGTATGATTGTATCACTGGAAATTTGTGGTGCCCTTTTAGTACTATAACTTAGAAAGGTATTCCCTTAATACTGTGTATCGGAAGTACTAGGTGTATTGTATGTACATAGTATATACATACTTTGTACAGAGTACATGATGGCTTAACTTACCAAATTTGTATGAGCTTGTACCAGGGCTCAATAAGTTACAACATTAATCGTAAGAAAACGTAACGTAACAAATCATGTATGTACCTGATGACTCAGCTGCGCGAACCTCCTCTATTGCGATTTGCGCGCTCTTCTCAGCATTTCTCACTGACAGAATAAATTCCAGCAGCTTCCGCTGGTCTGCTTGAAGTGTCATTGATGGTCTTTGGTCTTTGCGGCCGTGGTTTTCTACAACATGGAGAAGAAATCGGAGCCGTCGCAACTCCAACCCACACCTGAAGAGCTCGTTAAGTCAATCGAGGACGATGGGAAGGGTGATAGCGCTGCGACGGCTGAGGGTGTTACCGACGAACAATGGAGGTCAATGATGGATGTTGTCATGGCCATCTACGATTTCAGAGAAGAAGAGTAAGTTGCAGTGATTTCCTTAGATGATACACTAGTCACATTGCGAAGCTCACTATTCACGCTTTCAACCTTCAGTGGTCATGACCCGTCGAAACTTTTCCAACGCAGCGTTAATAAGCGCAATGTCCCGGACTATTACGATATTATCAAAGAGCCTATGGCTCTTAGCATTCTAAAGCAAAAGATCAACAAGAGGGAATATACGAAATTCTCTTTGTTCGTGCGAGACTGTGCTCTGGTAAATCAACGGCCGTCCTCTTCAGAGCGATTGCTTCCGCGGTGTACTAAAGCTTGCCAATGCTAACATGATACCTTTCCGCCTAGATTCCTCATAATGCGCAGACATACAACCGTCCCAAGTCTCAAGCGTATGAAGACGCGCTCGTGATCAAGGTCTGCAGAAGAATATTCAAGCCCTCACTGTAGTTTGCACTATTTTATTGATGTTGGTTTGTAGGATGTATTTATCGCCGAATTCCGGAAACTAGTAGATCAGGGGATCATCCCCCCAGAAGTTGCTGACCTCCCCGATCTCGGCGAGATCCCCGAGGCAGACCCTCTTCCAGAGGAGGAGGAGGAAGAGGAGGAAGACGACGAGGACGACGAGGACGAAGAGGACTCGGACGATGATGGTCGGCGGAAGAAAAAACGAGGCCCTCGTCCTGGAAGCAAACGAGATGGTGGAAAGGATGACGGCCACAAGTCTAACGATCCTGAGTTAAGAAAAAAAAGAGGACGACCGCCCCGTGTGGACACACCGATGGAGGCCAGGATCAAGGCTGTTTTGAAGGGGATTCGAAAGCTGAAAGGGCCAAGCGGCGCACTCAAAGTTCGACATTTTGAGCGTTTGCCTGATAAAGCTACATATCCTGACTATTATGTGGAGATCAAAGAGCCAATCGCTATTGATATCATTAAACGGAAGTCTAAGCGGAAGAAGTATAACTCCGTCGATCACTTCATGAGGGATATGGACTTGATGTTCAACAACGCCAAAGTATACAACCAACCGGAGAGTCAAATCTATAAAGATGCTGTGGACCTGCAAGTGGAATCAAGGAAGCTCGCTGAGATTGAGAAAAAGAAGCCAGACAGTGAGTACTTGATGGAGGATGGGCGTCTGCCATTACCGGACGGAATTCTTTACAAAAGCGAGCTATGGAAGGTTGGTGATTGGGTCCATATACAAAACCCTAATGATGTAACCAAACCCATCGTGGCCCAGATCTACCGTACTTGGCAGGATTCCGAGGGCGACAAATGGGTCAATGCCTGTTGGTATTACCGTCCCGAGCAAACTGTCCACCATTTTGAGAAGCACTTCTATCCAAATGAGGTGGTCAAGACTGGCCAGTACCGAGATCATCGGATCGAGGAAGTGGTAGATCGCTGTTTTGTGATGTTTTTCACTCGCTACAATCGTGGACGACCCAGGGGCCTCCCTCCTGATAAGGAGGTATATGTCTGTGAAGCTCGGTATAACGAAGAGAAGCACAAGCTGAATAAGATTAAGACTTGGGCAAGCTGCCTCCCGGATGAGGTGAGGGAGAAGGATTACGAAATGGACTTATTCGATGTTCCTCGGCGGATCAAGAAGATTTCGAGCCCTATTAAACACCTACTGAAGAGCGACGCAAAGGAGACAGATGATCTTCCAAAACCAACATGGGGAGCCGAGAACGCGCCGCCAATTGTTGGCGCTGTTCATCGTCGTCCGCGAGATGAGAATGTGAGTCTTTGCTATCTTGCAACGTCAATTTCAACTGCCCTGTGGATTATTATTGTAGCTAACAGATATTACCTCCCCTAGGAGTCCCCACCACCTGAACCCACACCTTCTCCACCCCCGTCTTTACCCCCACAGAATCTGCCTTGTGCTCCTGCTCGACAGGCTTCGATCAGCCAAACTCCACAGCGGCCTAGTGTGGATAGTCAAGGCAACACTACTGTAGCCGGAACCACTCCTGCACCACCGCGCTCGCCAGCTGCACCAATCCCTCCTGTTCAAAACGCACCCGTACCACTTCCTCCAGCGACTTATCAGCAACCTCAGTTACCCCCTACCCAAACCTATCAGGCCGCCGTCCAGAGACGCTCCAGTGGTTTTGTACAGCAGAGTCCACATCCCTCCTACCAGACACCGGGTGTCTCTCATCCGTACGCAGCTGTTCAGCCAGCACCATATACACCCTATCAGACGAACCGCATACAGGTTCCACCGGGCACAGTGTACAACCCCAATGCCCCTCGTCCGATCGAAGTGTTCCATTTGAGCGATGCTGCTAATGCTACTATCCCGGAAGATATTCGGGAACAGTTCCATTGTGACAATCAAGGCCACGTGCTATTTTTCTCTTCGCCGCCTCTGGATATTGTACCACCTCTCCAACAGAAGCTAGGTCACTCGCTCAAATATCTAGCAGTTAAAGAGGAGCGCCGGAAACTAGTCGAAGCGAAGAAGCGCAAGGAAATAGAAGAGCGAGCCGTGCAAGATCAGAGAGTAAAGCGTCAGCGGGCTGACGAGGAAGCGTCGCTTGCTGTTAGAATCGAGTCTCTGACTATGAAGGCCATCGGCACCATGGCAGATCACATCGGGACCGGCACAGAGATGATCTATCAGATGTTATATCATGACCAAGCGGAACAGGCTAGGCAAGCGAATTCCAGTGCTCTTGAGCAGAGGGTCCTTGCCGACCGTATTAATAAGGAGAAGATGAGGCAAATTCAGGCGCAGTCGAGGAGTGCGACCTTTGTCCCCCTCAAAGAAGATATCATGTGCATGGACGAGATTTGACCCTATGTTTTACTAAACAGGAAGGGGAATACAAGTTGTCAAACCAATCAATCAATTGCTGTTTTCTCTTAGTTACCCAAAATAATGCAGGCCTTGTTGATTCTTGTCTTCTTTTCTTTCTTCTTTGCGCGGGACATAGCTTCTTATGTAGGTAGCTGATTCAGTATCCACCTTCATGCACTTAGCGTGATTGATAGTCTGATGGTTGATTGGAGCTTTGTCTGACTATGCAGTTCTATGTAGATATCTTTACCAGAAACTATGCTCTGTATAGACAAAGTTGTGTAGGTGATTTTGTGAATATCTTCATGGGCATAAATCCTGTGAAATACGTACACACTGTTCTCCGACAACCATAATCACATTTTAGCAGGCACGAAACGCATGATTGACAAGACTGAGTGGTTACATGAGGTGAGAGAGAGAGCTTGCAAAGAAAAGATAATTGAAGGATGAGGGGATAGAAGACTACTAGGTAGACATACATGCATTTAGCAATCAGGACAGAACATTCACCGTCTTCTCTCTTAGTTCTCTGCTTTCAATGTCATGTCGTGAAAGATGTAAAATTCCGGAAGGACCGGAAGATATAAAAAATAAAATAAATATGATAAGAATCATCAGCAGAATGTTAAGCCTTTCCAATTCTCTGTAAACTCCGACCACGCCCCTGAATTATCCCGAACCTGGTCTAAGCCAAAAATATGCAAGACGAAAGAAGGTTGTACAGAGATTCTTGGAGATCGCTTATTTTAAGTCGCTCTATGCAAAATGCCTACCAAATGTGGCTGAGTCAGGCTTTTGATATGCTCTTCAGTAAAACCCAATGAGCGGTGTCGTGGGCTGGTGCCAAACTATAAAGCTGCTTTCCCCATGTCTCCCCTCATTTGGTGTGGCTTTTGTTTACCCTGATGAAAAATTATGACTTCTAATAAATTGGTATCAGAATGGGTGACTATCAAATCTTGGTTTCGCGCTTTCCCCAAAGGATATCAGGGCTGAAAGCCTGAGCTACTCGTCGGTGTAGAATCGTCGTCGTGGGACTCAGTTTTACTGGTGCTCCAGGAAGTACTACTCCGCTTGTTGTTTTCTTCTTCCTCCATGGAGAAAACCAAGTCGCCTTGCTCCTCATCAATCCTGCTGGTACCGACGGGCGACGAGACAGTACGGTCGAGACGGCCACTAGCTCCCACTGATGAAGAATGACGGGCAGCGCCAGGGTGAAGTGACATACCGCTAAGTTGTTGCGATATCATGGACGTCGACTGTTGCCGAGGAGTAGACACAAAGGGCGAGACGTCACCCGACACTTGCCGGCTTCCGATGGGGCCAAGGCTGGGACTTGCGCCAAAGTTTAACGAAGACTCACGGAGAGGAGATCCGACTTGTGGTAGTGAGGTGCCATGTGCATCCTCCTCCTTCTTCTGTCGTTGTTTCGCAAAAAGGGCACCAAATCTGGATGGGCTGGACGCCAGAGGCGAACCGACTTTTGAGAGACTGGTACCAGTCATACCAAGCCCACTGAGGTCACGATGACTTGAACTAGGCTCATAATCTGTGCGTGAAAGACGTCGTAGCCGCTCCTGCGGCGTCAGAACATCGTCGTGCAAATTGATAGGCAGGTAGTCCTCCTCCATCGGGAAATTGCTGTCATCCCAATCATCTAAGGCGGTAAGCCGCGGAACACTTGCAGAGAGCATTCGTGGTTTCACCGATCGCTGTGAATGCAAAAATCGAGGTCCCGGGCCATCCTCAGGAATTCCAGGAGGGGAAGAACCCATGAAAGAAGGAGGCTTCTTTAAATCCGATCCATATGCGGTATCGCGGAGATTTCGGAGCGCATCGGAGGGGGCGCCGGCCCTTTGGGCCGGTGGGGATAGTTCCAGTCCGAATTTCGATGGCATAGAAGCCGCTACCGGTCCATAACGAGCGGCGTGTGATATTCCTTGGCTATCAAAGGAGGCAGGGAGGGGTGCATCAAGAGCAGTTAAATGACGGTGATTTGGAGACATGGGAAATCGCATGTCATCAATCGGGGAACCATACTTAGAACCGGCATCTGAAGCCAAGCCCGCGTCGATGGTGGGAATGGCATCATATGGTTGTGGTGGAGAGTGTATGGCAGCATACTCCTCCTGAGAATGAACTTGAGGGCCATATCGGGGCTCTTGACCATTCATTCGCTGTTGAGAAAGGACGGAATTCGTCAAAGCTGAATCTTGATTCACATACGCTTGGGGATTAACCCGGCCACCCAAATTGAGGTGACTACCGCCCATTCCTACACCTGCGTTGGGTCGATTAACCCGTCGGCCATCAGGGAGAATATGCGCCAGCGCACACTTAGCTCCGAACTTGCAGTTACCCTAGGACCATAGCACATGTGATCAGCCATATCTATTCCCCAGTGAAGGGAGGAACGGGGTAAGGGCAACCCCAGGCATGGAAAAGTCGAAGTTTCTTCTGGGGATCCATACCTTCGTGAAGTATTTACACGGCGCATAGTCAATCGCAGCATCGGTAGAATGTAGGAAAGGGCAGGCAGGTCCCGCCTGACAAGCTCCTTGACGAAAGAATTTGCAGGGGACGTGCTTAGTATCTGTTGTCCATCATATGTAGATTAGCACTGGCTTCGCTTCGCAGGTAATAGGGTCCGCATGAGAGCGTCGTTGGCCTTATTTCTAGTTCAATAGGTACTGTGCAGAGTGTCTTACTGCTTTGATTGGGAGGGCTACGAGCAGCCATGTCAAAGCCTGAGAGATTGCGAGAATGGCCGTTCTGGATAGTTCCCGAGGGAACCGGAAGTGGAGCACGGTTTTTCATGTCGCCTGAAAGGCGATTATGGGCACGGGGTGTGTGGGAAGGTGGAGGTTGAGAAGGAGTATTGCGAGAGGCCGACACTTGCATGGCCGAGAGAAAGAGAAGGCGGACTACTGACTGGAAGCCCACAAAATCCGGAGGGGTTTACTATCGGGCGGGGTGGAGATAATAATGGTACTAAGAAAGTAGTTTAATGAGAAAGGCTCGTTTTTGAGAGCGGTCAAAGTTGATAACAACAGAAATTAAAGGAATAGGAGGGGCGAGGAAAAGAAGAGAGAGAGAGAGAAATAAAGAAAAATAAAAAAATAAGAAAAATAAAAAATGGTCAAAAAGGTACTGATGTGGAAAAGGTATTGAACGTTGGTTGAGTTTGCGACTTTCTACAGTTAGGTCGTTGACACCTTAATTCCAAGGCAATAAGGCCACCAATCCGAGGATCCTGGACCACGAATTGCCGAGTCAACGCCTCCTTTCTGCTCGTACCAAACAATTGAAGCGAGTGGGGAAATAAAATAAATAAAATAAAATAAAATAAAATCAAAACAAATAAATAAAGAGCAACACAAGGGGTAAAGGGGGACAAGAGAAAGAGACGAAAGAAACGGTAGAGATTGAGAATCTGTCCTTATCTCATCTAAGGCGGCCTCGACAGATAATACTTATGGGAGTGCTATTCCTTTGCCTCTTGTATGCGTATCTCTTGCTAGGTATGTAGTACCGTCTCACAGCCAACGGTACGAATTTGATAACCTCATTGTGTACCACGGTAAACATTGGCGTAGTTTTAAAGTCAAAGTGCCCCCGAGTATGTGATTTCGATATATTATCAACCAGAAGAACAGGTGCGACGAATGAAGATTACATTAAGAACAATCACTTATACACCCACACAATATGATAGTTCTCCACCTCCACTCTAGAGTAAGATCAATAGTCTCTTTCCTTCTCTTCTTCCTTTTTCCCACTTGATAAAGGCACATAGCACTACCAGAAACACAGACAATATACGATAACCCATCAGGTTGTCGTTAGACCTGTGGTACAATATATTATCAAAGATCGCGCGCGAGGACACTGAAAGTTATGGGACGGTCCCTCTGTTTCAATGTCTATACATCTGACAATGCTTGGGTGGGATATAGCTTTCTTCAGACCCCGTGTCCCACTTGCTCCTCCATCATTTATTTCATCACCCAAGGTTTTCAGGTGGAGGAGCTAGTCAATCACACAGCATTTCCCCACATCTATGTGGGCACTCGGTACATACTTTAGTACTTCAGAGTAGATGTACTGTAGGTACTCCCATTAGCGATATAAATCTGTATGAGATGGTACGTTAAGCACCGCACACTGGAAAGGAAACTGAGGAGAGGGGGTGAAGGGTCATCACCTTCACCTACATATACAAATATTGGAATCAAGTGACTATCGAAGGCCCTTCTAGCCCCAGGAATTCCTGTTCGTTACCGTGAGCAGTCTCGGAAAAGGTGGTTAACCAGATATTAATACCCAGAGCTCTTCTCGAGTCACATCTTTATCCACCATCTCTAGATATCTTCCCCACAAATCGCGACATATCTGCCTCCGCAACTTAACACGCTTCTGCCAGCATTCCCATGCTCTCTTCGTGACAGTTCTGTCTTCATCTACCTGTCCCGCACTGGTGCCCTGGGCTTGAGTCAGTATTGCGAATGTAGTCTCCTTTTCCACTTGAAGTTGGTTGATGCTCTCTTGGAGGTCAAAGGCCAAGGGTGTCGCACGCAGAGTTGTCAGCTCAGCTCGCGCCCTTTTTGCATAGCCTTTGAGGTCGGTAAGCTGTTCCTGCAACTTGCAAATGTGATCTTCCAGAACCACCCCCCCCTCTAATGTGCTCTCATCGGTCCCCTTCTGTAGAGCATGATAAACTGCCTGCCTCCCTAAACTCGAAGTTAGTGCTAGAACTCCATTATGTTCACCCACCACCCACTCTCCCCGGTGATACAAGCATGCAGGATTCACTAACCGGATGCTCTTCCTTCAATTTTCCGATTCTGATGTAGCTCCCTCAGGGCCTTTGCTGCGTATGCTTCGGGGTGCGCCTTTATTAAGATGTCTACTGAGGTCCGAACTTGGTATGGGGTTTGCTCACTTTTGGTGACTTTGTTCTGCAAATTTGCTGAAATGTCTGTAGCCTATATGTCATCAGCTGCGAGGCAGTTGTCTGATAGATCCTCCCGGAACAACTTACTGAATAGGGACGACTGCTCTTCTGGGTTAGCTACTAGGCTGTCAAAGAAAAGAAGGGGAGACAAGAGTATTGTGTTTCAGTGCTCGATTGGACCCTTACTTCTGCTTCCCTAGGTTTATGGGAGTGATGGATTAGTCTATCATGCCCATAAGAAGGCTGGGCAGTATGGGAAAAGACCGAAGGAAAGATATTGGCCTACGGAGATAGTCCAGAACCAAAGTAAGCCCATCGTTGACAGCTGCTTGGGGTTAGAATACCCGCGAACCCATGACCTGCGTGACGAACTCACTGCCGTTCGGCGTCTTCTCACTTTGCCCTTTCTGTCTCATGCTGGTAATGAGAAGAAAATCAAGGATCTACCAAGTAGTAGTAGACGGGAGTCGAAGGACAGGGAGGGAGGGGATGATGATGATCATGCTACAAGCAGTTACCACTGCTCTGCAATACAAACACACGAGCATCACGTGGAATATCCCACGAGAGTGGGGAGCACTGTCATTTAAAAAATATCTATGTAAAATGATCAGGGACTCACAAGGCTGGGCAAAAAAAATAAAAATAAAAACTCCTCGACAAAAAACTGCCAGCGGCTAATTATTCCAAATATGTTTAACAAAGGACTGTAAATCGACCGCCAACTAGATTGCAAGATCAAAATAGGGGATAAGAGACTCAGTACAATTAAGAATGCGCAAGTCAAAGGAGGTATCCAGCTTGTCAACCATACCCCTCCTATGTCTCGAGTCTTTCGCTATCGGAGCGCATGATGACGAACTGAATCCTCTACCACCCCTGTCCGTAAGCAACTTTCCGGATAAAAAACAAGTGAACTATGGTGCAGAGTCTACGACGACTCATGGGTATCACATGACAATCTATGATGGAGTCAGTCTTCGTAACATAATAAAAAGCTAATGAAACGGATGAAAGGCATACACAATCATTGTCCTTTTGTGCAGTGGGGACCCCCATCTCCTCAAATGTCTTTGGGCCTTTGCCTGGTAAACCGCTTTGAGACTTGGCTGGTTGTGCTGCAGGCTTCTGGCTGATCGAGGCAGATACAGATGACGGTTTTGGTGTTGTCGAGGATGCTACAGGTGCGCCTGGAGGCGGCATGGATTCACTACGCTGGGGAAACGCTGCAGAAGACGGAGAGGTCACTGGCTTCGGGGAGCCCACAGGGCCGCCTTGAGCGGAAACAGGCGTCCTCACGGGCCGCCGATCAGGCGGTGTACTGTCAAGGCGTTGGGGCCGTCTTGAGTTTGGAGATTCAATCGGTGCGGAGTAGCCAATATCTAGCTTGGGTGTTGCTGACGTGGGGCTTGCTGGACCGTTGGTGGTGGGTGTCACAGGGGCAGGAGAGCGATACCCCATCGGCCCAGGTCCATAAGACGCCGCACGGTTATAGTTAGGAGCGCTGGTGCGAATGTTAGGGTTGATGCCAAATGCCGAGCTTGGCCGTGGGTCAGGCACCGAGTAGCCTGGCGGGTACACTGGCCGAGCCCTGGAGGGTGGCCGGTCGGGGTACGGAGCACTTGGCGGGGGGTTATCTGAAAGACTCATCCGGGAAGGATCGGGCATTTCAAGATTCTCCGAAGTTGATTGCACGGATTCATTGCGCTGGTGAGAGCCATAGCGTGACTTGATTCGAGCGATAGCAACCTGCTCATGATCCCTTCGGGACAACGTCTTCGAACGTGAGATACTGTCAATTCGACTGGTAGCATCTTTGTTTCCGTTTGCCGCAGCTTTGGCATACCAGCTTCTGGCTTCCTTGATATCCACCTGAACGAAGATACCGACTTCGTAGAAGTATCCCAGGGCGAATTCCGCAGTTGGGAAGCCGCTCTGAGCTGCACGCTGAGCGTATGTGAATGCCAACTCGTCGTTCTTCTCAAAGACACCCTCATGCCCACAAAGGAACCATTTACTGATGGCCATTTCCGCTTCTGGCTCTCCTTGTCGGGCGGCCAATGCGTTGTAATGCAAAGATAACGCCGGGTTAAAGTCGCAACCTAGTTGACACAGTTCATATGCGGCGCCCATCTTGACTTGGGCCTTAGCAAATCCGTGGTATGCAGCTTTCTCGATATTTACACGAGCGGCATTAACATCAAGGGGAAGGTAATTCTCCGGGACGCTCACTTGGGGCAGCTCCCGTGCCAGAAGCATGCCATAAACCTGCAGGATACCGAATCAGATTGGATAGTGTGTAAGTTGGTTTCAGGGAAATACACACATAGGCACCCTGAGGCGCATTCTCATCGCAGGATTGCGCAGCTAGCTGGATATAATCAAGACCCGTTTGATAATCTTGACGCTGTCCATGCTGGCCCAGCAAGATCATCATCCCAAGGCGCTATAACCTCGAACAGTTAGCGCGAGCCATATAAATTAGTGATGGAGATGTAGCGTACGTAAAAAGAAGCAGAATCGGCAAGAGCAACGCCTTTCTCGTAATGCCGGATGGCTTTTTCGGGCTCACCAGAACTCTCGAACTGCATCCCCATGCGATACTCAGCCCTGGCATAGCCTTTCTCCGCAGCTCTTGAATAAGCTCTGAATGCTTCCTTTTTATCAACGCGATATCCAAATTTCCCGAATTCCAGCCACATGCCCTTGATGAATTCGGCTTTGGGATGGTGTTGATCGGCTAAGAAATTGACGATGTTCATCGCATCGACCTTTAACTGATGCTCCACTTGCGGAGTTTGGGGGCGCGGGGGTTGGATTAGAGACAGACGAGCCTCATCCTGCACGGCGACCTCGACATAAGCTAGGGCGTCCTGGGCCCAAGCCAATTGCATTTCGGGGTCATTGGAGGAAAGTACTGCCATCCGAGCCCTCTCCAAACTCGCTTCTCTCTGCTCATCGGTGGGGGGCACATTTGGAGGGGGGTTGCGTAGGATAGGGAACGGCGAAAAATTAGGAGATTCCATGGTATCGTAAACGGCGGATTGTTCGTAGTGGGCAGTGTCCTCGTAGCCGGCAGTGATGGGCTGTCCCTGGACTACAGCGGCAGAAGAAGTCCTCTCGGGAAAATGAGACCGATCATATTGTACAGGAGCATATTGGCTACGATGAGGGCTTCGAGCTTCATGCTCGAGGTGGGCAATATTGTCCTGCATAGTCTCCGGAACTTCAGGCATGACTCTGCTGGTAAGATAAAGTGTGTCCAGGTTAGCAACACACCCATCCACTGTAGGGAGCGGGGGAAGAAAACTAGAAAAATAAAGATGCCAAAAAGCAGGCGTAACTGTAGAAGATTTCCTGTTTCGGTTGATGTCTTCCTTTCTTTCTAATTTTATTTTTTCCCCCTTCCTTCTCCAAATCAACAACTGGATGGGGGGCTGTCTTACCTTTGGGGAGAAGGGGATATAACTTCTGGCATGTAAAAGTCATCCTGACCCCCTGGATACCATGTAGCTCCCAGCCTTGGCTGACCGCGACCTTGCGGTGGTCTATTCATTGTCGGCGTATTTTTCTTCTCTTCCTCTTTAATAATTTAATTTTTCCTTCTTTTCTTCGAGGGGGTTTTTTTTTTTTTTTTTCTCCTCCACCCCCCAGAAAAGGACAAATAATTTGAGAGAACTCCCTGGACTATTGGGCTTTTCTTTTTTCGTTCTTGTCCTTCGTTGGTCTTACCAATTATTTTGGGTTTGAGACTCAGACTAGAGCTAATAATACGATTAGGCTCTCACGGTTCTTCGGTACGTAATCAAAAAGAGAATAAAAAGAAAACAAAGAGGGCCATCTGTGGGGGAAGTTTTATTGCCGAAGGACCCAGGCAAGACGGCGACAACACGTCGGAAGAACTTCAGGGGACCTACTCGTTATCTAGCGAGAAAGAGAGAGGTACCAGGAAACCCACTGGTGACAAGAGTTTACCCAGTAAGAACTGTCAGACGAAAGAGCGAAAATCGAATGGAGGATGGGGAAGAGATGGAGGAGGGTCCTAAGTGTTGAATCACAGACGTATCGTACGTATCTTAGTATGGACTGGGTGGGGTAAGAAGAATTGATAATTGATTACTATAAATTGGACAGTATTTTTGACTTTCGTTCTCCTTTCCCCCTCCATGGTACTCTGCAGAGGAAAATGTCAGCTTACCTGGTACTGGTAGTCTGGTACCTGTGTAAAGTACATACATAGAACCAAGCCTACCATGTGCTCTTGTCACCCATACAGGTGATGACTAGACCGGCAAGTAAGAAACAAAACTAATAACCGTTGCTCAAACAATAGACCAGTATGGAGTACATAACCATCTTTTAGATAGAGATGGGTACATAATGGACAAATTCTTCTATGTTAAATAATTCATACAGAGTAACTATATATTTGTTTTATCTCAAAAGAAAACTTGGCACTTCTTGGCATATGATTGCCTGCGTACTGAAGATTCGTACTCCGTATTCGTTGCTTCTTCAGAAGCAACTTCGGAGACCGCAATAACAGCTCTTCCGCTCTTCTGCGCTTCCCAGCCTCTGTTGAAAACATACGGAGGACGTACTCCGTAGTTCTTCCTTGTGGGTCTTTAGGTCTCGATAATATTGTGAACTGATGTTATCATGGACAGGTACGGAGTACAATAGGTGTATGACCTGAACTCCTTTGTATGTACTATGGAGTCTACTATGGATAGTGGACACAGAGTGCCTAGTGCTCCGGAGTCCCAGACAGCACGAAGTATGGGAGGTAACTTATCTTACCGCCCCCATTTTCACCTCTTTTTATTGCCCAGGCTTTCTAGTATCATCTTCCCGCCCCCCCCCCCTTTCGGCTTTTTTTTTTCCCTTTCCTTTTCGTTTCCCTTTGCCCCTGCTCCTCTTCGGCTAGCACAATGGACCCATACTGAGCTTCGGCCTCTGATGTACTACTCCGTAATACCTGTTGAACGTGTGACCGCTGTCTCCTGCAAGAATCATGGAACTCCAGGCAGAAGAGTTCCACCATCCTTACTCGCCATATGATATTCAGCTCCAGTTCATGCGGGCCTTGTACTCTTGTATCGAAAATGGTAAAGTGGCTGTCTTTGAGTCCCCTACTGGTAAGTTGGCCTTTCGTTTTGAATTGAGGCTCTTCTGACGCCTCTGGTGATATAGGCACTGTGAGTTAGACTTTGGACTAGTTGTTGATGCTACTTCCATTCTTGGTGGATATCTGCCGCTGTAGAAGTAACCAAATGTAGATTAGCGAAAGATCTAAATATGCTGACAATAAGCACTTGTTCGATTACTGAGACTTGTCTGCACCAGGGAAAATCTTTGAGCATAATATGCGGCTCTTTGACTTGGTTACGAGACCATAAACGCAAAGTTTTCCAGGAAACTGTCAACAACACTACATGTTAGACTATCATTTGGGCATTACAGGGATATGGTC